TAAAAATAATCTCTTCAATATAAAAACGAATCTGTTCAAAGTATATATCACCTCAATAACCCACAAAGTTATAAATCTGAAACTTTCTCATATCTCGACTTTGGTCCTTCTCTTAGGAGTTATATGTCACCACAATCAATCCACAAAAGTTAAAAACTATATCAAGATTCATCCGTCTTCGATTCCTCAAATATCAATTATGGTTCTTTTCTCCGAGATAATTCTGAAAAATATTAAAGGCGGGGAAGTATACAATATGACAGGAAAATAATACGCTTAATGAGAAAAAAATAAGAACGATCAAATACCAAATAATTCAATCGATAGATAATCATAGATAAAAGAATCAATAATTCAATTCGATAAGTCATAAAACTCAATTATAATCAAATATAGCCTCATACTCGGGTCCTATTGGTGACATGATAAGTAACACTTAGGCATTTAAAATTCATAATCATATCAAACCATTACACCTCTCGGGGCTGTAATCATAATTGCACCCTGCAGGGCCGTAGTCACATTTCACTAATTATGCCCCCCAAGTACACTTCGTACATATACCAATCAATCCTAAAGTATTTAGCCCAACATACAGATCATCCGATAACATTGACAAATTTTCGTATCAATCAGAATAATTAATAGGAATATAAATTTCAAATAATAAAAGGATACTATTTGCAAAAAGATTTAAAAGACATGAGTATATTGTATACTACCTCGTACCTCAAATCCATCAATAACTTCAATAATTATTAAATTTGAAATATCAAAAATCAAATACTTAAATTTTAAAGAAAAATTACTACTTAATTTTTGACCAAAAAATCTCATAAATTTATCTCTTTATCTCTTTCTCTTTCTCTCCCCCCTCTCTCTCTCATTTCCTTTCTTCCTCTCTTTAGTCCATTGTTTGAAGGCCAAAGACAGGCTATTTATAGTCAAAACCTTGGCTTGCAATCATTTGACATAATTAACGTGTTAATAATTAATATATATATATATATATGGGTCGTCATAATGAATATCATTTTTTGATGAATTAAAGTGACAATCATTATATTTACATGATAATTAAATATATCGAAATTAAGAGTATAAACAATCATAATAATAAATATCTTATTAAATTAGTAAAAGATAATAACCTTAATATGAGTCTATTTAATATACAAAGTGTACTAGCGCAATAATTCATGACATCAAACAGTCTCTTACAATCAAGAAATAATATGCTAGAATATTACACTATAATCATACTGATGGTGTGTCCAATTCTATTTAGGATTATGAACATATATTTATATTATACAATGATCCGATAAATTGTTATTCTGTATATAAATAGAATTCTACACACCAAATTACCAATAATGTAAAATATAAAATACACATGCATACTATATATCAAGTATGATGAAAATATTTTGCACATATAAATTCTTAATAAAATGGAAAAAACAAACTCCTATTAATTAATAAAACAAATTTTATTAAAAAAAAGTAAATTTTTAGTATATAACTCTATCAGTGTGTATGTATGCATACAATCTTTGTAGGTTTGTGTGCATGTGTGGGTTATGTTTGTGTATGTGAGTTTTTTTATTTTTAACGGAAGAAATCTTAGACTTGTCTCTAATGAATAGAGACGCTCTCATATCATTAAGGCTAATGAGTTCGAATAGAATCGAGGACAAACCTCAGGCGTATGAATCGATCCCTTAACTCATATACTAGTTAAATCAATATTTAATACTTCAGTAGAAATTCGAACCCATACCAGATACTTGGATATGGTTCGTCCAAACATTTGAGATCCGTCTTACTAGCTAATCACGTTTTTTGTCGCTCAGAGTACTTGAACTCTTGACATTTTTTTTTAGTCAGCAATTCTTGACCTTAAGAAAATAAAACTTTCATAAGATAAAGAGTATCATTGCCCCAAAGACCAATCGGTAATATCATGTTTGTGTTTGTCAATGAGTGCATCGAAAAAAGTGAGTGCGAGTACACCGTGAAAATATGTGATCTCTATTTGTACTCTGGAAAAAAAAATATTTGTGCATTATAATCTATTTATTTTTTGTAAAAAATTGATGATTATTTTTTATTAGTAAATTTAATTGTCATCAAATTTTTTATGAGATTCTAATTACCATTTTTATTTTTGTAGCAATTATTCATTTATTTTTCGGCAATGGAGTCAAGTAAGGGAAAAATAATTGTATAGTACACGGTGTTTGTAATTCAATTGAAAAATAAAAATTAATGGGTTATTTTAGATTGATTAAATGTCAGTAATGTTATTTTAAATTAATTTGATTTTGGCTAATATTGATTTGCTTGTAGGTGAAATAAATATTTAGGGTCTAAAGACATTATAAATTTAATGGCATGGAATTATTTTTGTATCATTTAGGGTTATTTAGGCATTCTCTATCTCTACTAGTAATGCAATACGTGCTAAATAATTTTCGTACACAAAATATTGATAAAAACTATTAGGTATATGTGTATCTAGATTAAATATCATTTCAAGTTTATCAAAATTATATATTTACTACTCATAATATACTAAAAAATTTGAAAAATATTGTTTGTTTTTCAGCAATTAGTTGTTATGACAAGAAAAAAGAAAAAAAAATTTCATTTGATTAGGTTTTAACTTATAATTCATTGAATAAAATTGCAATAATTGTCAATATTTTAATCAATATATACTATAATTAGGAATTAATTAGGTCAATAGAGATAAAATATAGGGTTAACAACACTTTGGGTCTCTAAATTATGCATTTTATGTCAATTTCATCCTCAACATATGAATTTTGTTAATTTGGCTCATAAAATATTCAATTTTTGTTTAAATAATTTTTAAACAGACAATAAATTAAATTTTTTGACGGAAGTGACCACGTGTCATTTTGTTATATAGTATCACGTGACCAACACGTGATTACTTTTGTCAAAAACTTGGATTGCTTGTGTATAGATCTTTAAACACTAACTAAATACTTTAGAGATAAAATTGACAAAATTGATACAATGAGGACCAAACTGATAAAACATGCATATTTCATGAAATAAACGTACTATTAATCTTAAAATATAATATACTACTTCATAATATTTATTTTAGAAGAATATTAAAATTCTAAAATTCAAATTTTACTTAAAAATACACTATAATTGTTTTTATATAAACTGTTAATAAAACATGAAAAGTTTATTGTAATTGAAGAATTATGTTGATTTAACATAAATTATTTAAAAAAAAAATCTGCATAAAATATTATTTTTTATTTTATGAAATTTTGGAAAAAAAAATACACATATATAAACATACAGTTATCTTTATATTTCAAATGAGTAATGTTATATTGACGAAATTTTTGAAGATTTTTTAAACGTTTTATTGAAAATTATAGTAATGCCCATATTTTTTAAGGGTAACGTAGTCAATTAAAAAATTTCATAAATATTGATATTTATACATAATGAATAGAGAATTAAAAGAGACGATAGGGGTAATTTGGAGATTTAAACACATAAATACTTGATGGTAATTTAGCTATTCAATTACGGAAATATAGTGTGGTATTTAAAATTATTTATAAGAGTAAAATAGTGAATCAAAAAATTTTCATTATAAGATACTTTTATTAGTGGTATAGATGAGAAAAAAATACATTTATATAGATATAATGTTATTTTTTTATTTGAAAAGAGTAATGATCTATTAATAGACTTTTTGAACACTTTATTGAAAACTATAATGATGCATATATTTTTTTAAGGGTTGCGTAGTCAATTAAAATTTTTCATAGATATTAATATTTATACATAAAGAATTAAAAGAGATATTAGAGGATAAGTTAAAGATTTAAATATATAGATTGTGATTGTAATTTAGATATTCAACTATGAAAAGATAATGTGGTACTTAAAATTCTTTTATAAGGATAAAATAATAAATTAAATTTTTTTTATTTAAGGTACTTTTATTAGTAATATATATATATATATATATATATATATATATATATATATATATATATATATATATATATCTTTTCTCTCTCTCTCATAGACGATGAAAACCAATGAATGTTATTTTTTTAACCCAAAAATCTAATTTAATTTGTTTGCAATATTCTATGAAAAACGTTATATTTTATTATTAGGTACTTCTGTTTATAACCCAATGACCAAATGTTGCTGAGGTTGGTTAGTGAAGAATAAATATGTATAAATGATTTTAAGAATAATTATTTTATATCTTTAAAAATTAATTTTTTCGTATTATAATTTAATGCATTAAAAGTTTTGCTTCGTTATTTATTTCTGATAAAAATTACTTTATTTATGTAGTTAAAATGAACAACGGAAATTAACATAGAGGTAACATTGTAATATTTTAAATATATAATATAAGAAATTTAATATTTGAGAGTACAAAATAAAATTTTAAAATTTTTTCAGGGTTCAAATTATAATTCTCCCTTATACTCAGCAGCTAGGGTTGCGGAACCATGAAACTCGTCACCACCACGATCAACCCGTGCATGACACGCCATTAAATCACTGTATCCTGCCATCCAAACAACCGCATAACCAGTTGCGCCGCATACGAGTGTATCACACTACCACAAAACAAGCCCATACTAGAGGCCAATTTTGTCATTTCGAAAGTTACAGGGTATTCACGTTTGCCGATTGCGCATGGGGATAAGTGTAGTGATAATCATGAGAATTCGTCCAAAGGGCTGTCATTAAACTTATGGCTTCGCTAACGTGAGCCGGCTGGTCACACGTTCTTAACCTCAACCTTCTTTTCTTTTATCCTCACTTTGCCCTTACCCTATATTTGCCCTCTCCTTGCGTCTTCTCTCATTACCGGCAATCAAAACAGCACCGAAACGGCTTTTTTGGCGTCTCCGAGCTCTCCATCTCTCTCTCTCTCTCTCTCTCTGATCATCCATGGCTGATAAGACCGACTTCGATTTTCGCCCGAACCAGATCTCCAAAGGTAAAAATCCTATCTCATTGTAGTTATGATAATTTTGAATTTTGAATTTCTTGGTCGATTCTTTATTTTATGCATTCGTACTTTAATTCTTGGAGTGAGTGACTGCTGCCTTGTGTAAAACCCTAGCTTTATTGTGGAGATTGAAGGCAAATTTTTTTTTTTTCATTTTTTGTACATGAGAAAAGACAGTGGGTTTAGGGTTTTCTTTAAGCTCCGTTTTGTTCTTGGAGACGCTGGAGAAAAAGCAACGTAAATGCTTTATAATTTTCTTGCGTTTCTTTTTTGTGCAAATTTATTTTTTCCCGAAGACCCAAATGAGGAGTCTATTCTTGCTTGGTGATGTTAGCGCAACTTTCAGTTTTCGGGTTTTTATTTTTCTATGAAAATCTTACCGCTGATCTCCATTGCGGCGAGTGCTATACGTAAGTGACGGCACTTTGTAGCACCTATTTGGATGAAGTAGTTTCCCGTGTGCCATGTATTGTCCATATTGCAGTTTTTCTCAGTATCTGCCCTTAAAGTGCATTTTCATGTACAAGAAAGGAGGCTCATGCTTATTTTGATTATTTTTGTGTTCACATCAATAACCAATAAATTTTGTACACTTCACATAGTGTGGGTAATCAGCTATGTAGTCACTGTGGAAATTTTATATCTGTGAACCTATGCGGCTCGATCTATAGACTTCTTGTTGCGAATGGAGTGGTGTAGCCGGCATGGAAATTTTTTGTACTTGTGTTTTTAGTGAGTTCTGTATGATCTGTAATTGTTGTAGTGTAACTTAGGTAGAGTATAAAGGAATGTAATTGTGATGTGAAGAGAAAATATTGTGGGGATGTGCCTTCGATGGTGCATAAGGACTCACCTATCTGATGGAACAGAGTCTTTGTGGGGGCATACTGGTTATATGGCCCGACAAAGACTTGCCTTAATTTTGTATGGAGCATGGATATTACTGTCCTGAAAGTTTTAACTATTTCTTTGTTTTGCTTTGTAGTGTCAAGTAAATCTTCAATAGAGTTTGGTTCCAGTATTTGGATTTTGCGTAGGATTGTCAGGACTTCTATCATCATCACAATCATTTTTTGTTTCATTTTTCCATGATGAACTTCTATATTTGGTTCCTTCTTTTACATATTCATATTTCCTCTTTGAGTATGCATAACTAAGATTAGAAATTGGGTTTGATTGTTTTCAAGTTCCTGTATTGCTGGAGGGAAACAGATGACATTGTAGAGGTATTTTTCCCCAAAGTTCTTTTCTAAAAACTAAATCGACTGAAGGTGACATGGTGGAGGTTTAAGTTGTATAATATCGTGTTACCTTGGATTATGATATTGTGGGTTTCCTTTCCTTTCTATGCTTATGCATTCATGTTTGTTCATTTCAGGAAAACGTCACATCTAATTAACTATTTCCTGATTAAAGGCTTAAACATATTCAACCTTATGATTATGAAACCAAATAATATTTTGAGGCCTTCTGTTGCATTTGCTTTTGATCAGTGCTAGCTTTCTGCTTTGGTTAGTTTATCTGCCTTTGAACAATGCGGAGCCACTACGATGCATTGGTGATACTGTTCGGTTTTGTTTTAGTATTTTGTTTCAGGAAGGCTATTCCACTTAGTTCTGGAGCTTATGTGTTAATCCACTAAGTTTAGTTTCAATGTGATACTTGCTGGTCAACTAGAATAATTTGCATTGGAAACAGGGCACATTTGTGGTTGCTGCTGGATATCTGATACTAAATTTTCAGACTATTGTGAGGTGTTTGAAGAGAATCCCATTCAATCACTCTCAGGATAACCTTCAAACACTCCAAACTTCTTTCTCTACGCCTTATCTCTCCCTTAGTAATCATATTAGAAAATTATAAGAAGATATGCAGTTCAATGAAGCTATGTCTGTATTGGACTGCGGCATTCATAATATTTACTGGTTGGGGTCCTGCTGATACATCGGTAGGTTTGCTTCATTTAACCAAATTTGATGACTATAGTACTCATTATATATAATATGTTCTTGTGATATTACATTTTTCAATGCACCAAGAAAACATGTTTTTGCCTACTTGCGCCTACCATATTAAGAAGAATTATTTAACTGGTCCTCCTTTGGTTAATGTAGATTTGCAAGGATCTGACAGTCCAATTCCGCTTTCACCACAATGGCTTCTGCCCAAGCCAGGGGAGACCAAGACTGGGATGGTAAGTGGGGTTTGTTACCATTTACCTTGCTAGTTGCTTCTATCTTAATTGTTTGATAACTATGTTGTGTTTTTTTCAGACAAGAAAACTTTTGGGTAACATCTTATGAGAGTTTTATTTTGCCATTTATTTTTTTTTTCAGTGTTCGTTATCAGCATACTGAATTAGAGGTTCTACTCTTTTTTATTCCTCTTTGGTACAGGAGAACCATCTCAGTCCATCAGCAGGTTATGTCAATTGTTCTGATACCATGAAATCGCTGGGAACTGGTGAGGAGATGTACGATACCCAGAAGAAAAAGGATGTCTTCAGGCCGTCCATTCTCGAAATGGGATCTGGTCGCAGTGACCGCTGGCATGATGAAGAACGGGATACCAATTCATCTGTCCGAAGGGGTCGTTGGAGGGAGGGAGATAGAGAGCCTGGGGAGAACCGCAAGGTGGATCGGTGGACAGACTCTTCTGGAAGACACTTGGGAGAGGTACGACGTGGTCCAACCGAGCGGTGGATTGATTCAAGTAACCGAGAAACCTCTAATGACCAACGTCGGGAGAGCAAATGGAACACACGTTGGGGGCCTGATGATAAGGAGACAGATGGTTTGCGTGAGAAGTTGACAGACTCTAATAAAGATGCTGTCATGCCACTTGATAAAGGGATGGCTCATCTTAGTTATCATGGGAAGGATGAGATGGAAGGTGATCATGATCGACCATGGAGATCCAACTCCTCTCACGGCCGAGGAAAGATTGACCCTCCTCATCGCCAAACTTTAACACCAAACAAACAGGTTCCTACGTTTGTCCATGGTCGGGGGCGTGGGGAAAATGCTCTTCCTACCTTTTCTTTTGGTCGGGGCAGGGCTAGTTTTGTAGGAAGCTCTATAAACAGTATTTCTACACACTTGCAGTCGTTGGGATCTTTCTCCGAAAAGGGTGAAAGTGGTCATGGAGGGCCTTCCCCTCTGAGATACAACAGGACAAAATTGCTCGATGTGTACAGGATAACTGACATGAAATCACGTGGGAAAGTATTAGATGGCATTGTACAGATTCCTTCTCTTACACAGGAAGAACCATTAGAGCCGTTGGCATTTTGTGCCCCTGCTCCTGAAGAATTGGTAATTTGCAATTCATTTTATTTTTAGAGAACTTTCTTTGTGTTAGCTGCATTCAGATTAATGGCTTACTTCCTTGGTAGGCTATTTTGAAAGGAATAGATAAGGGCGATATTGTGAGTAGTGGTGCACCTCAGATCACAAAAGATGGATCGGTTGGACGGATTTCAACTGATTTGGTGCAGTCGAGACAAAACAAACTTGGTACTGTCCACATTCCATGTTAATGTCTTATTATGCAAATGTTATACCTGATTTACTTTTAACTCCTGTTGGATGTGACTTGTTCGAGCAGACAGTAGAGAAGATTTGCCGTTTGCTGGTGAGGATTCAAAAGATGAAGCCGTTGACGGTTCAAGACGTGGTTATTTAAATTATTCTGAGGGCTTGTCAATTGATAAACGGATGCATTCGTATGGGCCAAATTCTAAAATTGAAACTGTACAGGATAATCAGAAGTTTTCTGATTTCAAACTAAAAGCTGAAGGTATGTTTATGTAGAGATTTTGGTTTTGGGAATATTAATGTAGAGATCCCAAGGAAATTGAATTTTGTTTCAGAGCTTAAATGTATATGCAGGATACTCAAAGAAGTAGTTGATATAAAATGGCAAAAGTTTGATAGACACACTAGATTTAGATACATCCTGACCATCCAACTACACTCCTTCCTAATCACAATAAGCATTTTGGGACATTTAATAAAGAAGAGTAAAACCATCAGATATGGATGGAGGTATTATGTAGTTGGTTGTATTGTCAGAGAAATTGTATAGTCCAGGAATGTGTGCAGGTTTGATGGTTATGGTATCTTGGTTTATTGATTCTTTCATCAATTCATCTGGTATGTTGGTAAACCGATGTACTTTCACGGGTCGCCCTCGTTCCGTGTATGAGAAGTTCCTGGCTGAAATGACAGGCCATGAGTTCGAACCCGAGTGACCTTATCGATTATGTTCTTACCCTAAAAAGAGGAAGAAAAATGTGGTTTCTTGATTTACTTTACCCTGTCTAAGTTCCGTTTGAGTGTTCACGTGACCCTTCTCACCTATCATTTATGCTCTAGTCCTGGAATATGGGATCGTAGTTCTAATTTATATTTGTTAACGTGACCCTTTGATCTCCTTGTTATGAATTTGTTTTGGGAATGTATTTTTTTACTACATTGTTCTGCATTCAGCCCCTTTGATCTCCTTGTTATGAATTTGTTTTGGGAATGTATTTTTTTACTACATTGTTCTGCATTCAGCTTCGACAGAAGATGGTGCTTATCAGAGGAATGATCCGGTGCCTATCGAGAGGGAGGCAAGTATGCTAAGAAATTCCTCTTTTCATGCTGGTGATGCCTGGCATTCCACACCAATGGCAGAACATGCCCCATATGATTGGCGAGATATTCCTAATGACGTCAGGTCAAGAACCTCGGACATTAGCTGGTCACAGTCTCAGAAGGATATGAATAATGAGTGGGAAGGTAGTTTGTCAGATCCATCTTATTCCAAAGATGGACCTAAAGGGAAAATAGGTAATGAACGAATTGTTAAAAGGCAACCATCTGTAGTCCTGGATAGGGAGCAAGAAACCAGGACACTTCCTCAACCTTCTCCAGAAGATCTACTTCTTTATTATAGAGATCCACAGGGTGAAGTTCAGGGGCCTTTTGCTGGAATTGATGTTATTGGATGGTTTGAAGCTGGATACTTTGGCATAGACTTGCAAGTACGTCTAGCAAACGCACCACATGACTCACCATTTTCATTACTTGGTGATGTTATGCCCCACTTGCGCGCAAAAGCCCGACCACCACCTGGTTTTGGTGCGCCGAAACAGAATGAAGTTACAGATGCATTAAGTCGGTTGAACCCCGGCAGCTTTGGTAAGCTTAACACTGGTTCAAGTGAGACTGATATGATAAAGAATGAACCAAGGTATAAACATAGCTCAACAAAGGAGGCCGAGAACAGGTTCTTGGAGTCTCTGATGTCTGCTAATATGAGCAGTACACCTCTTGAGAAGTTTGCTCCATCTGAAGGTTGGTTTTTCCCTTTTCGTAGAAGATTCTTGTTTTGTTTTGAAGTTGTGTTAAAATTTTTCTAGCCTAGCTATGTTTCCTTTTAATTGTCAGTGATTAGGTCAATATAATTATCTGGTGTCACCTTGTGTGATGTGTTTTTAAAAACAATTTTGTATTCCTTTGCAGGTGTGCAGGGATATTTTGAAATAACACTAGTGTTAGGCCTCCTTTGGGAGCCGAAAGTGGGGACAACCTACACCTTCTGGCCAAGAGGATAACATTTGAGAGCAGAGTTCCTTCCAAATCCCTATGCACATTGGCCTGGAAGGGATGCAACCTCTATTGTTCCAAACTCAGAGATTGTCCATGACTCCCCATTGCCACATCCAAAATTCTCCTTCTCAATGTCAGACCATCCTCTTCAGCAACCTCATTCTCAGAACATGGACTTGATGTCAATCGGTCCAGGCTTACCTGAGAGGCCTACTTCTGGTATCAACAATGGAGTTAGTGGTTGGTCAAATTTCTCAGGCCAAGGTGGGCTGGACCCAATTAAGGACAAGTTGGACACTCTTCATGGCCAGAATTTCCCTCCACAAGCTACATATGGGATCCAACAACAGAGGCTGCAACCGCAGAATCAACCCCCTTTAGCAAATTTACTAGCTCAAGCTATCGATAATTCTTCTAGCATATTAACCCCTGAAAAGCTACTTTCTTCTGGTCTTTCACAAGATCCACAACTATTAAGTTTGTTGCAACAGCAATATTCGCGGCAGTTACCTTCTCAGTCTCCAGTTCCATCACAGCAGCTGTCAATCTTGGATAAAGCTATTGTTGCTTAAGCAACAGCAGAAACAGGAGGAGCAGCAGCAGTTATTGCGGCAGCAGCAACAACTGCTTTCTCAGGTGCTGTCAGAGCATCAATCCAGCAGCGCTTTAGTGAGGTATCTTATGGACAGTTACAACC